TTCGCAAAAAAAAAAACGATCACTTTCAGTCTCGTAACTCTTTGCTTTTAGTCGGGAAAACAAACGAAGCCTCTGAAGAGTATCCTGTCTCACCGCTGGCTTCCGGATTGCAGCCATCATACCGTGCAAGCCGACCTACAAGAAGGCATAGGGGATCAAGGCAGCCAGAAGAGCCTCTTTTGAAGTGGCTTCTGAAGAAAAGGTTCTGTTGTGGCCTAATGGCTATGATGCAAACGAAAACTGCAAAGAATTACTAGCAGCTGAGAGGAACCGTGATAAAACAAAATTTTTTCGACAGTTTATATATGAAATACAAGTCTATTTTTTCTATTCATGTGTAGCCATGTGTAGTGAACATTTCAATATGAGGAAGGAGGAGACCGTGTTACCGTGATTCCTACTCACCCCTATTATACGCAACTACTCTTAAGCAGCCAGTTCTACCAACACTTCAGCAATTATCTGTTTCAATAGTTGGCTATTTTGTTTCTTATATTTGCAACAGAGAAAGAAAGGACTGTTGCAGTATAAGAGATGCGCGCCGAAGTTTTCTGAATTAAATGCACTTTATTTCGGGGTTATATGAATTTGAAGTCATCACTTTTCGGCTATACTCTAAAATTACAACCACAGTAGGACAATTTTTCATATAAGGATTTTCCGATTCTAAAGTCAATCCTCTATGCGCCACTATAGTGCTACCGCTTATAGTAAGAAGAGCTTGGCCAAAAGCTGAGAAACCATGTTTCAGTTAAAAAGGTGAGTTGTGGAGATGATGCGGTTGCATATTAAATCAGAGAGGTTAATTTTTTTCTGGCCGCAAATATACACAAAATTTAGCAACTCCTGTGACATGGCTTCCGCTGTTAGAAGCTGTCTTTGTGAATAGGAGTTACTTCGTCTGGAATGGAAATCCGATGACAGGCTTCGTAAACTCGTGAAATCATTTCAGATCATCATTAGTGAAGTGAACAAAACCCCGCAGTCATTTGGATCTAACTCTTAAGCGATGATCACCCCTGTGAATGCAAGCAAGTTGCCCTTATCTCTGACTTAAGTCATTTGAACTGGATGATTGCAGCAGCTTATGAATCCCTCAATTGAAAGGATCTTATTTTCTGCATTAATTAGATCATCGAATTGGATGAGTTGAAGTAAATGTTTGCAAACGTTGAAGAACAGACATTTACGATGTGCTCAGATCGAACTCAGAGAAAAACGTGACAGAAAGGTAGACAAAGCTGC